AATCCTTGTGTATTACTGGTGGGAAGGTAAAGTGGTACAGCTGCCATGAGAAACAGGCTCCTCGAGAAGCTTAACATAGAGTTACCATGTGACTCAGTGATAACCGCTCCCGGTTTGATACACTGGAGAATTGAAAACATTTACAGAAATGTTCATAACAGCATTATTCATAATAGCCCAAAGATAGAAACAACCCAAATGCCCATCCACTTAAAAATGGATTTTTTAAAAAAGATTTTATTTATTCATGAAAGACAAAGAGAGAGAGAGTGAGGCAAAGACATAGGCAGCAAAAGAAGCAGGCTCCATGCAGGAAGCCCGATGTGGGACTCGATCCCGGGACTCCAGGATCATGCCCTGGGCCAAAGGCAGGCACTCAACCGTTGAGCCACCCAGGGAGCCCCACAAATGGATTTTTTCAGTATGGCATATCCAAACAATGAGATATTATTCAGCAATAAAATGGAATGAAGTACTGATACATTTTACAACATGAATGAACCTTAAAAACATTATGCTAAGCAAAAAAAGACAGACACAAAAGGCTGCATATTGTATGATTCCATTTATATGAAATGTCCAGAATAAGCAAATGCATAGGAACAGAAAGTAGACTAGTATTGTCCAGGGGCTGAAAAGAATGGGAAACGGGGGAAGATCAGTGAAGTGTTCTGGAATTATAGTGGTGATGGTTGTCCATTATGAATATACTAAAACCACTGAATTCATGTACTTTAAAATGGTAAATTTTATGGCATGCTTGTTATGTCTAAAAACAAAAAACAAAAAAACAATAAAAAAAACATGGAGACACAGCTAGGCAGAAATAGGACTGAGTCTTTTTTTTTTTTTTTTAGGACTGAGTCTTTATTTTTTTATTTTTTTATTTTTTTATTTTTTTATTTTTTTTAATTTTTATTTATTTATGATAGTCACACAGAGAGGGAGAGAGAGGCAGAGACACAGGCAGAGGGAGAAGCAGGCTCCATGCACCGGGAGCCCAATGTGGGACTCGATCCCGGGTCTCCAGGATCGCGCCCCGAGCCAAAGGCAGGCGCCAAACCGCTGCACCACCCAGGGATCCCCAGGACTGAGTCTTAATCAAGGAAATTTCAACATTTTTCCCCCAGCTGGATTTCAAAACTGCTATGGACCAGTGACTCCTGTGTGCTCCTCATCCCTCCTCTGCCCCCTCAGTGTTATATTATTTTCAAGTGTACAACATAGTGATTTGATCATTCTATACATTACTCAATGTTCGTTATATGTCACTGTCCCCCTTTTTAAGCAGTAACGTCTGTAAAAGTTACCCCTTGACTGTCCTGCCATTGTTTTCTGGATATGTGGGAGATGGTCACATGTCTCTGTAGGTCACAGATATTCAGATTGAGAGCAACTGAACTTGAGGCATTACATCCAAAGAGCCTCATGTGTACCTGGACCTAATTTAGGTGGTGTATTGGTTTGCTGAGGCTGCCATAACAAAGTACCAGAGACTAGGTGGTTTAAACAACAGAAATTTATTTTCTCACAGTTCCAGAGGCTAGAAGTCCAAGATCAAGTGCAATAGGCTGGGTTTCTTTTGAAACCTCTCTGACCTGGCTTGCAGATGAGCACCTTCTTAGTAGTGCTCTTGATCCTTCCTGTGTGCATGCATATACCTGGTGTCCTTTTATGTTCCTAATCTCTTTTTCTCATAAGGACACCACTCAGGTTAAATGAAGGCCAGTCACCCATCTTAATCCCATCCTTAAAGATCCCATCTCCAAATAGTTATGTTTTGAGGTACTGGGTTTAGGGCTTCAACATCCAAATTTGGGAAGAGACACAATTGAGCCCATAGAAGATGGCAAGTATATCATAAATTCTTAAAACCTCATATTTGCCTGATGCCTCAACATCTCCACAATTAGGCTGTTAACACCTCACCAGATAGGCAGGTGCACCAGTGTGATGAGGCTGGTTCCTGCCACAAGTTCTCCTTCTTGCCCTCCCTTGGCTACAACCTAGTAACATTCAAATGCACTAGTGAAATTCCCTCATACATTTGCTTGTGTGCTCCACTCTGATCCCAATAAAGGCACTTGGCCATGGGTCCTCGCTCTCTCAGCTCCGCATCTGTGTGGTTGAGTCTGATCTCTGGGCACTCCTCCTATGTGGTCTGCATGTGGAACATCATGCCTCCCTGTTCTAGGACCTGTGGATATAATGAGTCCTCCACTTTTATATACCTCTGTGAGTGCAACTTCCACAGCTTTGTTGGAATAATCCTTAAAGACCCTATGAGAAGGACTTAGTTCCTCATTTACAACACAATAGAATTCTGAACTTTTTAAAATATTTTATTTATTTATTCATAAGGGACACAGAGAGAGGCAGAGGGAGAACCATCCCAGGACTCAATCCCAGGCCTCCAGGACTACAATCCCAGGGGTCTTGGACTCGATCCCAGGACCCTGGGATCATGACCTGAGCCAAAGACAGACACTCAACCACTGAGCCACCCAGGCACCCCAAATTCTGAACTTTTTGCTGGTTGACACTCTACTGGGATGAAGATTTTCAGAAGCTTGAGAGAGGTGAATGTGTCTTACATGTAGGAGGAATGTAAATAATTTGTGACCAGAAGGCAGAATGTGGTAGTTTTAAAATATATCCACAGATTCTTGGTATTCTTCCCCTGGAGAGGTGAAACTTAATTCCCCTCCTCTTGAGTGCAGAGTGGATGTAATTACCAGCTTCCAACAAACAGAACATGGTGAAAGTAACTATATTTCTTCCAAGACTTGGTCATAAAGGGCACTGGCGCTTCCTCTTCTTCCTTCCTCCTCCCTTGCTCTCACTTAGATCACCACTTTGGGGGATATTAGCTGTCAACAACCTAGTAGCCCATGAAGAGACCCTTGTGGCAAGGAACTGCCAACAATCATATGAGTGAACCACAATGGAAGTAGCTCCTCCAGCCCCAGTCAAGCCTTCGGATGTCTGCAGCCCCATCTGCCATTTTGACTATAACCTCATGTGAGACCCTGAGCAAGAACCATTCAGCTAAGCTGTTCCCAGATTCCTGATCCCAGAAACTATGTCAGATAATCTAATATTTATTATTTTAGGCCATTAAGTTCAGGGTAATTTGTTATCCAGCAATAGATAATATACCATGTCTTTATCAGAGGAGGGAAATTATATACAGATTGGAAGCATAGCCCTGTTTATCTATTTATGCTACCTGCCTAGTCTCTGTAGGCATTTGAGTTTATGGCTTCTTCCAAATTACAAAATCCCTTCTCCAATTATGTATATATAGCAGAGGTCATGACATCACTTTGTTTGATGTCCCTTCCCCCAGGATGATTAATTCAATAAGTCCTTCCATAAATCCTTGCTACCAGGGGTAAGGAGTATACGGTGGATCATGAATGGGGATTTGTGGAATGCCTATTCTGCCCAAATTTCAAGCCCATATATTTGATTCTTTGCTCAGACCGTTTGCTTGGAACTAAGTTAGGAATTCCACTACTGGGCAGCCCTGGTGGCTCAGCGGTTTAGCACCGCCTTTGGCCCAGGGCGTGACCCTGGAGACCCGGGATCGAGTCCCATGTCAGGCTCCCTGCATGGAGCCTGCTACCCTCTGCCTGTGTGTGTGTGTGTGTGTGTGTGTGTGTGTGTGTGTGTGTGTCATGAATAAATAAAATCTTAAAAAAAAAGGAATTCCACTACTGCAGGTCAGGTGTAGTAAAAATAATCTTAAAAAGAGCCTCAGAACCAAATAGAAATCAGCCATACATACTAGGTTGAACCATATTAAATCACCAGCATTTAGCTCCTAGAACAGCAGTATCATATGGTTCAACCTAATAATACATATCCAATCCACTCATAATTTGTCCCTTCCCTCCTCCAACTGGCTGGCATGATGGCTCCATCTGACAAAGATCAGTTATAGCTGCTGTCTTGGGAGGCCAGCCTTTCTGTACAGGATGTCTGAATCCCAACAGTCACTGCCAGCGCTGCCTGAGACAGGCGCTGCCTGTGTTCATGAAACTGAGTTTATAACCCAAAGGTGCAATTTGTCTCTTGAGCTTAGGTCTTAACTCTTAATATTTTCCTTCTTGTCATGTTTTATTACTGCTGTTACAGGATGGAGAACTTGGGAGGCTTGGGTAGAGAGCTGTAGCCAGAGCAGAGGTGGTAGTAATGGAGGTGGTAGTGATGGTGAAGGGGTGATGGAGATGGGTATGGTGGAGGTGGCACCCAGGCACAGAGCTCTGGGACTTCTCAGTCACCCGATCAGGACACAGAAGGTGGGATTGCTGCCCAACGCATACAGTACAGCCATACCCCAGGTACCTGCCTCTTACCTCGGAGCCGGTTTGCTCTTGAGTTGTTCACTATGAATAAACCAACTAGTTCATAAGTCATCTCTCGGGACACATGGGTGGCCCAGTGGTTGATTGTCTGCCTTCAGCTCAGGGCATGATCCCAGGGTCCTAGGATCGAGTCCCACATCAGGCTCCTAGCGTGAATCCTGCTTCTGCATCTGCCTGTGTCTCTGCCTCTCTGTGTCTCTCAGGAATACATAAAATCATTATTTAAAAAATAATAAGTGATATCTCTCTCCTGATCAGTCCCCCTATTAACAAATGTTGAGATAGAGGGAGCAAAGTTAAAAGAGGCTTAGCTGTTGACACATCTGTTTACAAGTGTGCTATGGTAGAAATTGGGCAAGTCTAAGAACCAAGGGGCGCCAAAAGGCTCCTAGGCAGTAACAATTGGGAAACAAACTTGTTTTTTCTCCCTTCCTCTCCTTCTTTGAGTTGTTGTCTCAACAACAGCCAGACGTGATAAACAAGAGACAATTTATTCCACATCACACATGCTGTAAGGAGGCCAGAACAAGGAGGAGAAGCACAAAGATGACCTAATGTCCTCCCTCTCTAGTTCCTTGCAGTGATGAAAGCCAATCCCCCCAAGGCTGTGAGAAAGGATGAGGACAGGGATTCAGGTGAATGGGCACAACATGGTGCCAGGATTTCCAACAAGGCTACAGAGATCCATTCTTTTGCTCAGGATTCAGGATTTCCCCCTGCTTGATCGAGGTGTTTGAGACCATCAGCTTCTTCAGAAGGTTTTGTTTGGGGCTGGAGCTGTTGCTGCAAAACACGGTGCCACAGGGATGGTTCATAATCACACTCCAGAAATGTTTATGGTTGAAGTAGCAAAGGGCCGCTGGAAAAGCACAAAGGGATAGGGAAGAGGAAATTTGAAGAACAGGAGGAAAGTGGCCAGTGAGGTGAAGCCAAAGGGAAGATAAATCCCCAAGACCCTGTCCCTGGGCATTGCCAGCCCCGTCCCTGCGCACTTCCTCTGCCATTAATCACCCGAGTCCCTGCTTCCCAGGGCCCTCGGGCCACTCACCACAGGTGACATAGAGGAAAAACACCAGCCAGCCTATGAAATAGCTCCAGCCGATGGGGATTGATAAATTCTTCTTCAACTCAAAGATCCAGAGGTTAATAGGGAACAACAGGAGGGTGAAGAAAATAAGGATAACTAGGAGACAAGAACCAGAGAGATCTTATCCTTACCTAAGGATCCCACAGGGATTCTCCCTCACTTGTTGGGCCGCAGCCACAAACCACCATCAACCCCTCCAACCCCACCTCTCCAAGGACTGGAAAATGATGGAACTCAGTTCTCCATGACTACCAGTTCTGTTCAGCCATCACCCCTCAAACCCCTTCTGCACCCCTAAAGAAAGGAAGAGGGAGAAGTGCCCAGGAAGATGTGGTTTGGGAGAAACTAAGGACCATTTCCAGAGCCAGGGGATACCTTCAAAGAAGCTCATGATTGTCCCAATCCAGCTAAAGAAAGGCAGTCTCTGAAGACCAGGTAGGTACGGCAGGTGCAGCCAGATGGTGAAGACAAAGCCCAGCCCCAGCGCCAGGCAGAAGGTTATAATGGCCACCCCAAAGACTGGGTGATTCGTCCACAGCATAAAACTATCTGTAGAAAACAAGAAAATAGAACGAACTTAGAATTCACAGAGGAAAAAAAGTCATCTCGTGAACATGAGAAAAAGTTAACTGAAGAAATGCACATTTTTCTTAAAGATTTATCTATTTCTTTGAGAGAGCTTGCAGAGGGAGGGGCAGAGGGAGAGAGAGATTCTAGCAGACTCCTGAGCGCAGAGCCCAACATGGGGCTCAATCTCGAGACCCTGAGATCGGGAGCTGAGCTGAAATCAAGAGTCAGACGCTTAACCGACTGAGCCACCCAGGCGTCCCAGAAATGTGCATGTGAGATAACAATGGAATATCACTTTCACTCATTATTTAGGCCAGGATTCTTGATATGGAGATTGTTTGATAATCCCAACCATATAAAAATGGAAAACGGACAGAGGACTTGAACTATAATTCTCAAAAGAAGAAATACAAAAGTCCGATATACCCATGAAGCTCCATACAAAGAATCGCAAAGTAAATGTGACTTGGTAATCTATCAAATAAGCAAAGATGGAGACAAAATTGACGATACCTGGTATAGGAAAAGATTTTTTTAATTTTTTTATTTATTTATGATAGTCACACAGAGAGAGAGAGAGAGGCAGAGACATAGGCAGAGGGAAAAGCAGGCTCCGTGCACTGGGAGCCCGACGTGGGATTCGATCCCGGGTCTCTAGGATCGCGCCCTGGGCCAAAGGCAGGCGCCAAACCACTACACCACCCAGGGATCCCTAGGAAAAGATTTAGAGAGAAGAGGTGCTCTCACACACTACCACAGGGCAGTGTTTCTGATAAGTCATCTGGCACAAAATATCAGAAATAATGTAAATGGTTAAGGCCACTTGACTCAACAATGCTTCTTGGGTTTTATGGTAAGGAAATAATCCAAAAGTGGCACTAAAATCTGTGTTCAGGGATCTTCTTTACACAGATACTTATATGTCCAAGGAGAGATTTGTTAAATATACTATACCCATACGTTGGATCATTGTGTGTTCATTTGAAAAGGATATGGGGGGGATGCCTGGGTGGCTCAGCAGTTGAGCATCTGCCTTCAGCAGTTGAGCATCTGCCTTCAGCCCAGTTGAGCATCTGCCTTCAGCATGATCCTGGTGTCCCGGGACTGAGTCCCGCATCCGGCTCCCTGCATGGAGCCTGCTTCTCCCTCTGCCTGTGTCTCTGCCTCTCTCTCCTTGTGTCTCTCATGAATAAATAAAATATAAAAAATAAATAAAAAGGATATGGGGGTGCGTCTGGGAGGCACAGTTGTGTAAGCATCCAACTCTTGGTTTGGGATCAGGTCATGATCTCAGGGTGGTGAGATTAAGCCCCAAGTCAGGCTCTGCACTCAGCATGGAGCCTGTTTGAGATTCTCTCTCTCTCTCTCTCTAATAAATAAATAAATCTTTTTAAAAAAAATATGATAGGGACACCTGGGTGGCTCAGTGATTGAGCACCTGCCTTCAGCTCAGGGCATGACCCTGGGGTCCTGGGATCGAGTCCCACATTGGGCTCCCGGCAGGGACCCTGCTTCTCCCTCTGCCTGTGTCTCTGCCTCTGTGTGTGTGTATGTCTCTCATGAATAAATAAATAAAATCTTAAAAAATAATAATAATATGATAGATGTTTGTCTCCAAACAAGAGTCTTTTTTTCTTTCCTCTTTCTTTCTTCTTCTTCTTTTTTTAATGTTAAGAGCATGAAGACCTGGAACAGAGATCCAAAGCTCTGCTTTGGCACAAGAGCTGAGAAAGCAGGCTGGGAGCTGGGACTAAAACCGGCAGTGAAAGGCCACAGGATGCTGGGAAGGAAAGACAAGGAAACCCAGAGCTGGCCCAGAGCAGCAGAGACTGCGGCAGAGGGGGAAAGCAGGCTGGCACCAGGGCCAGGGCCAGGGAGGGTAGAGCAGCCTGCAGACTCCTCCCCAAGCTCTGGCGCCCCGCAAGCCTAGAGGATGGAAATTCCCCCTGACAGCCGGGCCCTGGAGTGGGGTGAGGGGCGCAGAGGGGCCCACCTTTCCCGTTCTCCGAGGGGAAACAGCTCTTCAGCCTGCAGATCTGCAGGAGCCCCATGGACATGACGTGGGCCGATGTGTAGATGCCGGTGCTGACGTTGCGCGGCCAGCGCTGGTAGAAGCGGCTCCGGGAGGGGTGCAGCCACCTCTTGGAGAAGACCATGACCAGCAGCAGGGCGAAGGCCAGGAGGCTGAGCTCCGAGGCGCCCACCTGCGCTATCCAGCGGGAGCTGTGCGTGATCCTCCACCACGTGGGCAGCACAGAGATCCTCCGCGGCTCGGAGTAGTGCTCCCCGCAAGCCTGCCCGTTGCGGTCCGGGCCCGACAGCCGGTTCTGCACCTTCACCTCCTGCTCCAGACTCCACTCCCCCTTGTCCTGCTTCCCAGCCTCCCGCTTCTTTTCCAGGTCTCTGTGGCTCATCCTTTCTTCGCCCCCCACCCCAGGGAGCTCGCCCCTAAAGTCCTCGGCCCACATCCTGAACACCCACCGTCTCCCCTCGTCACCTCCACCCCATCTCCCCCCTCCCCCGCTGGGCACAGTGGTCCCTCATCTTTTAAATATTTTTCTCTAGCAGAGCACTTTGCATCGCAGGGCCTGGCATCTGGGAAAGACCCACTCAGTAGGACAGGGGCCGTAACTGCCATGGAATATTCCCGACCCCAGGGGAGGGGGAGGCAGGAAGGGGGAAGTGTCAAGTGGGGGAGGGGCCCACCGTGGCAGCCCCAGTCCTAAGAGCCAGCCAGGCACCCCACAATCTGAAATTTTTTTCTAACCTCCCTTTTAAGTTACAGGTAAATGATTCAGAGACCCCTGGGGGCAGCCTGATGGTAGTGGCTTCTAGACCTCAGACCCCAGAAGCTCTCCCCAGGGAAAAAGCCTTTCAGATTTGGATGTGAGTTTGAATCCCACCAAGTTGGTTTACTCTGTGGAGGCAGTGATACATGGGGTGAAGAACACAGGTTTGGGGCTCCAGTTGGCACAGAGAAGGCTATGGGCCTGTGAACCTGCCTATAGCCTATAGCTTCTGCATCCCTCAGTTTACTGAGATGTAACACAGGGACAGTGATACTTGGTTTGAATATTAAATGAAGAGGCATGAGGGATCCCTGGGTGGCTCAGTGGTTTAGCTCTGGCCTTTGGCCCAGGGCGCAATCCTGGAGTCCCGGGATGGAGTCCTCCCGCGTTGGGCTCCTGGCATGGACCCTGCTTCTCCCTCCTCCTGTGTCTCTGCCTCTCTCTCTCTCTCTTTCTATGTCTATCATGAATAAATAAATAAATAAATCAAGGGGCGCCTGGGTGCCTCAGTGGTTGAACGGCCACCTTCGGCTCAGGTCATCACCCTGGGGTCCTGGGATCGAGCCCCGCATCAGGCTCCCTACTCAGCAGGGGCCTGCTTCTCACTCTGCCTCCCCACCCCACCCTCTTATACTCACTCTGTCAAATAAATAAATCTTTTAAAAGATGAATATCAAATGATATAATAAAAGACACTCATGTCTTCATATTAAATTCCCAGAAAGTGATAGTGGTTATTATTACATTATGATTTTTTAAAAGATTTTATTTATTTATTAAAGAGAGAGAGAGCACGGGGTGGGGGTGAGGGAGAGGGAGAGGCAGGCTCCCCTGGATCAGGACCAGACCTGAAGGCAGCGCTTAAGAGGCTGAGCCCCCAGGCGACCCTAACAAGCAGTTCTAACAGCATGGGAGAACCTTGGAAATACAATGTTTCCTGAAAGACATTAACTCCTAAAAGACTACACTGTAAATATGATATAGTTTGTATAGAGCTGGTCAACAAACACAACTAAGCAAAACATTGTTTAGGCACACATACTGCTATGATTGCAGGTGAGGTTTTAAAAAAATCAGCAGAAGGACACCCAGCTGGCTCGGTGGGAGCAGCATGCAACTCTTGATTCTGAGGTCGTGAGTTCGAGCACTGGACATAGAGATCACTTAGAAATAAATAAATAAATAAATAAATAAATAAATAAATAAATAAATAAATAAATATTTTAAAAACAATAAAAATGAATATCAGGGGTGTCTGGGTGGCTCAGTCGGTTAAGCACCCGACTCTTAATTTCAGCTCAGGTGGTGATCTCAGGGTGGTGAGATCAAGCCATGCCTGGGGCTTGGTGCCGGGGGTGGAACCTGCTTAAGATTCTCTCTCTCTCACTTTCCCTCTGCTCCTCCCCACCCCTCTCTAAATATTTTTTTTCTATTTTATTTATTTATTCATGAGAGACACAGAGAGAGAGAGGCAGAGAGAGAAGCAGGCTCCCTGCGGGGAGCCCAATGTAGGACTTGATCCCAGGACCCCAGGATCATGCCCTGAGCCAAAGACAGATGCTCAGGCATCCTTTTCTTTTGATTTTAAATGAAGCTGGATTGAAGTTTTGAATCTTATAATTTTGAGTCTACATTACTAGCAATTGTACCACTGAGCCACCCAGGTATCCCCAAATAATAAGCCTCTCAAAATATGAATAAAAAGCAAAAATCAGTGGACTAATAAATGCAAAATATAGAACAGTGGTTATTTCCCAGAAGATGCAAGGGAATGTGACAGGGAGGAAGGGAGAATGGCACTGGTACCTACATGTTATTGATAATAGGTTATCAGTTCCTGAGTCAGGTGATTGATGCACAGGTATTCATTATATAATAATCACTTATAACTAACATATAATTCATGTGATCCTGTGAATGTATCAGGTATTGTTTTCCAAAAGGTAATGAAAAGTAGTCTAAGAAAGGAAATGCAATCTTAGTGATTATTAGGTCTGCAATGAAAGCTATTTATGTGGTCACAATATCTAAGGTAAACACTGTTAATTGAGTTTCGACTTTTAGAATCAACAGATAGACAAAGCACGGAAGACTTAACTATGGCCACAAAAGTAAACATGGCTGTTATCAGCCTTGATGCCATCCAAGTAAACGCTTAAAAGAGGTAAACTGGCAGGTGGAAGGACGAGAATTTAGCGGAAGGGAAGGGTGGGGGACCTGATAACAGGGTCTCCACAGAAGGCTGTGCAGGATGTGCACCGCACAAGCACACACACAGAGCTTGGATGGCGGTGGGGAGGGAGAACTGAGGTCCAGTCTGCTCAATAACTGACATCCCTCCAAGGGGGCCCCCTGACCTGGAGGAAGAGGCACTTTGTTGGGTATCTCGTAAAGATGCAACTCCCCCAAGACAACCACTCCAACATCTATTCAGAGGGGCTGCGTGTCAACCACAAGGGTGGAGGCACAGAGGGGCCTCACAGGCCGGCAGCAGGCCTGTACACACAGCGACGTGATTGTGTATCAGTGGGAGTTGTCTGGTCACAAGCAGGGACCCAGACTAAGTCAGGCAAAAAGAATGTCTTGGGGCAAAAGTGAGAGAACACAGACTCGGACAGAAAGTCGAGGGTCCAGGCTAGAACTAAGCAGGAGTGGGGCGCACAGGTGAATCATTACAGGAGCTGGCCCTCTGCCCACAGTACACCCCTAGCCCCCTCCATCCTTGTCTATTCCTGGTCGGGATTCCAAATCCCACAGTCTGCCTGGCCTCAACGGGGTTACGTGTCCACCTCTGAGGTGGGAAGGTGGACACCCTGGCCGACAGCCCACCAGAGCCACATGGACTTGGAGAGGGACAGTTCTACAAAAGAAAGGAAGCCGAGCGGTCAAAATATAATGATAATTTGGGACTCAGAAGGTGGAGCTTGTGACTCTTGAAATTGAGGTTGTGAGTTCAAGCCCCACGTTGGGCTTGAACCTGTAGAGGTTACTTTTTTTTAAGATTTTTATTTATTTATTCATGAGAGACAGAGAGAGGGGTAGAGGCAGAGGGAGAAGCAGGCTCCTTGCTGAGCAGGGAGCCGATGCAGGGCCCCATCCCAGTACCTCGATATCATAACCTGAGCCGCAGGCAGATGTTTAACTGACTAAGCCACCCAGATGCCCTAGGTGTAGAGATGATAGATAGATAGGTAGATAGATAGATAGATAGATAGATGTAATGATAACTTACTGGCACAGGTACAGAGCGGAAGCGGAATGGAGTGCCACGCTGGGAGATTTCTGAAAAGGAAAGTGCCCACCGTCCGACCTGACAGCATGCGTGCCTGGACATCCTGGATGGGACAATAACCTCTCGGGGACCACGGGCAGCGCTGACCTGGAGACTGTGGACACAGACTCACACAGGCTTATTTGTTGCTCCTCGTCGGTCCACAGGGACTTGCTCTGCTGCCTCTACAACCCCCAGACACAGTCCTACCCCAGGCTGGCTCTCCCTGCTGCACACACCAGTGCGAATCTCCTTTGCGGTGAGCTTCTGGGCCCCTGGTGTTGCTAGAATATGTCAACAGCCAATGTCCATGAGCTGCAAGGTGGCTTCCCTTTTATGTCTGTGAAAGCCATTGTTGGTTTTTCCTCAAATTCTAGTGTGTGTTAAGGACTCGGGCATCCCGTTACAACGCAGGTGCCACACTTCTAACAAGCTTCTAGGTGGTGTCCATGCTGCTGGTCTGATGATCACACACTGAGAAAATCTGGGTTGCCAGGCCACCTTCCCCAAGATGTCCCTTGACTTCCAGACTTTGGACACATGTGAAAACAATGGGCACACCTGCTTGTCAGTGTGTCCCACTTGCTTGGTTCTGCCTCTGTGAGAAACTCCATTGCCTTATATAAACCAGCTGAACAGAAATAGAAAGAAAAACATCACTGCTTACAACAAAGCAAGAAGTGACTGCAAAATTAAGAATTTCTGCCCTCTGAAAAAAACACAGTTACCAGAATGAAAAAGACAATCCACTGAATGGGAGAAAATATTTTCAAATCACATATCTGATAAAGGACATATAGCTAGAATATATAAAGAACTCTCAAAATGCAAAAATGAGAAAATAAACCACCCGTTTTTTTTTCAAAAGCCGAGAGTTTCGAACACCAAAGAAGATATACAAATGGCCAATAAACGTTTGAAAAGATACTCAGAATCATTAGTTGTTAGAAAATCTGCTGAGCAAGGATCCCAATGCAGGGCTCAATCCCAGGACCTGAGATCATGACCTGATCCCAAGGCAGACACTTAACTGACTGAGCCCCCCAGATGCTCTTTGGTGTTGTTTTTCTTTTTTTAAGACTTTTTAAAATTTTTAGGCAATCTCTGTACCCAGTGTGGGGCTTGAACTCACAATCCCAAGACCAAGAGTTGCACGCTTTCCTGACTAAGCCAGCCAGGTGCCCCCCCAGTTTTTAGTAAACTTAAACATACACTTACCATGTGACTCAGCAGTGCCACTCCTAAGTGTGTACCCAAGTGAAATGATAGTTGTGTTTGTACAAAAACCTGTATAAGAATAGTTGTAGGGCAGCCCACGTGGCTCAGCGGTTTAGCGCCGCCTTCGGCCCAGGACGTGATCCTGGAGACCTGGGATTGAGTCCCACGTTGGGCTCCCTGCATGGAGCCTGCTTCTCCCTCTGCCTGTCTCTCTCTCTCTCTCTCTCTGTCTCTCTGAATAAATAAAAATCTTTTAAAAACAACAACAACAAAAAAGAATAGTTGTAATGGGGGCACCTGGGTGGCTTGGTGAATTAAGCATCTGCCTGCAGTTCCAGGTCATGACCCTGGGGTCCTGGGATTGACCCCCTAGTCAGGCTCCCTGCTCAGCAAGGAGTCTGCTTCTCCCTCTCTCTCTGCTGCTCCCCCTGCTTGTGCTCTCTCTCTCTCAAATAAATAAAATATTTTAAAAATGTTTTTAAAAAGAATATTCATAATGCCTTTATTTGTAATCACTTAAAACTAAAAACAACCCAGATGCCCCTCCATTAGGGAACAGACAAACTCTGATATATCCGGACAGCGAAATATTACTCAGCGATAAAGAGTAATGAAGTACATGGATGCATCTCAAATACATTTAGCAAAATAGCCAGACTTAGGGATCCCTGGGTGGCGCAGCGGTTTGGCGCCTGCCTTTGGCCCGGGGCGCGATCCTGGAGACCCGGGATCGAATCCCACGTCGGGCTCCCGGTGCATGGAGCCTGCTTCTCTCTCTGCCTGTGTCTCCGCCTCTCTCTCTCTCTCTCTCTCTCTGTGACTATCATAAATAAAAAAAAAAAAAATAGCCAGACTTGAAAGGCTACCTACTGTATGATTCCATTTATATGATATCATAGAAAAGGCAAAGCTACAGAGGACAGAAAACAGATCCGGGTTGCCAGAAGCTGGAATTGAGGAAGAGGTTCACCACACGGGAGCACAAGGGGGGTTTAGGGGGTGATGGAAGGCTTTTGGTTCTCCATCATGGTGGTGGTTACATGACTATCTATATACGTTTGTCAAAAATCTCAGGACTTTACACTAGAAAGGGCGAATGTCTCTGTATGTAAATTGTACCTTAAAAATATGCCCTGGGGCACCTAGGTGGCTCAGTAGTCAAGTGTCTGCCTTGGGCTTAGGTGGTGATCTCAGGGTCCCAGGATCAAGTCCGACATCCGGCTCCCCACAGGGAGCCTGCTTCTTCCACTGCCTGTGTCTCTGCCTCTCTGTGTCTCTCGTGAATAGATAAATAAAATATTTTAAATATATATATATATATATATATATATATATATATATATATATATACCCTAGTAATGCATAGAATTATTGAATGACTATATTGTACCCCTAAAACTAATTGAACATGTAGGTTAACTATAATGGAATTTAAATAAAAATAAATAAAAATGAAATATATATATATCTTTTATTTTTTTAAAGATTTATTTATTTATGATAGACAGAGAGAGAGAGAAGCAGAGACACAGGAGGAGGGAGAAGCAGGCTCCATGCGGGGAGCCTGATGTGGGACTCGATCTCGGGACTCCAGGATCATGCCCTGGGCCAAAGGCACGTGCTAAACCGTTGAGCCACCCAGGGATCCCCTATATATATCTCTTTTAAAAAGAGAGGGGAGATTATATTTTACAAATAGCAAAAAAAAAAAAAAAAAGTGACATCTGTGTTCTCCGGAGGGTGGGTGGCATAATTCCCCCGAGATTTAGGTTAGTGCTTCACAGACAGAAGAGTGAAGCCAAGAGCCATGCCCCAGACCTCGATGGTGATGAAGGCGAAGCTGACATGTGAAGCTTCTGCTGGGGCCCAGAACACAGTGGGAGATGGAGACGGGGGGGGGGGGGGGGGGGGGGGGGGGGGGGGGGGGGGCAGGGGCACGAGCGGGGCGGGGCAGGGGAACCCCCGGGATGCCCAGGGAGCAGGTGCCCTGCGGATGCACCCGCAGCCGGAGCCTCAACCCCTGAGGGATCCCCGTCAGGGCCACCCTGCGGCCCTCCCTACCTTGAGCAGGAGGCGAGCCCCAGGAACCAGGAACCGTGCCAGGGACCCGGGGAGGGGAGCCCTCCCAGCGCAGAGAGGTGGGGGGAGTGCCTGTCGCGGAGACTGGAGGAGGGGCTAGCCACTAGCCACGGCCTCCTAGGCCTGGCCAGGAGCGCTCTGGGGCCGCTGGGCGGGGAGTCCGCAGTTTGGTCTGTGCATACTGGGGAGCCAGGCAGGTGAGGAGCGGTGGGAGCACATGTCCTCCGGCACCGGATGGCATGCCTGCCTGGAGAGCTGGCCAAGCCTGAGAGCAGGAGCCATCGCCATCAGTACCCCTGTTGCTGAAGAGAGAAGGCGAGCCCTGCGAGGAAGGAGGGAGGGAGGGGGACAGAGATGCCAGGCTGGACAAGATCGCAGGGAGCGGTGGGCAGGAGGGCTCAGTGGGGCTAGGAGAGGAGGGGAGAGCTAGCCAGCCGGCTCTGCAGAGAAGGGGGCACAGCTCCTCTCATCCACCTGTTCCTTGTGGCCATGACCCTCTGCCACCACGATGTTGACCAGATGCCGTCGAAGGGCCAGTGCAAGGACCCATCAGCGCCCTTTCCTATCTTCAGGATAGACTCCCCAGAAGTGCAGGCCTCACATAGGAGCCGGCTGTGGGTAGAGGAAGGGCTTACTGACTGGCAGAGAGACTTCCCCCCAGGGGCCCAGCTTTCTCACTGTCCCCACCTGCACCTCATTGCCTCAGGTGCCACCTCTGTCACCTCCCCACAATCCAGCCTCATTTCTTGTCCCATCCACACTCTCCATCCTGCACCATGGTCCTCACTCCCCACCTCCACCCTTTCCCAGCTCCGGCGGTGCTTCATGCCGGGAAACGTGAAGGAGCGTGTGCACCAGCTCCCTTCTATGACCACTGTCGCCTCTTCCTGGACTTCAGTCTCCCTGTTGCCACCTCTCGAAGGCTCTTTGCCCAGATCTTCCCAGGGCTGCTTCCTTCTTGTCCTTCCCGGAATGCGGGCTCCTTGAGGGCAGGACCCTGGTCCTTTTCATCTCTGTATCCCCATGTCCTAGAACAGCGCCTGGTATAGAGAAGGCACTCCAGAAACAGGTGTAGGATTGGATTGCATCACACAGAGATGCTCCCGGGCCCCCAGCCCCAGGCCCCAGCAAACTGACCCTCGGTCTCAGAGAATCTCTTTCCGAGCAGCCCCATCCGCTTCCGAAGCCACATTTGGAAACCACCATTCCTTTAAGCACACACTCTGCTCACTACAGGGCCGCCAACATTTATTGAGAGTTTCTGGTATGCCAGGCACTGTGCAAAGTCCCGGATGGCCAAATGCCAGTCACTTTCTCCCTCCCTGGCTTCCCAGAGTCTTTGCATCTCCTATGGCTGGCGTGCAGTTGCTGTCCTGGGCTGGCTGCCACATATATTAGCTGAAGGGACAGCGGGACGGCCCAGTTCAGGGAAGGCCTGGTGCGAGGCCAAGGTCCTCCCTCGCCAGCAGCTGTCGGCTCCGCGCTGGCTCAATCCCTCCCCTCCTTCTGGCATCAGGACAGTTTCTCCCCTGGAAGGAGATGCTGGGGGGTGGGGGGGCACCACACTGGCTCTCTGTGCTCCCTCCACTGCTCGGCCCAGCATTGCTGGTGAGACGTCCAGGACGGAGGCAGGAGAGCCTTCACTGGCCAGCCCGCGAGCCATAGCTCCTGTTTCTTCACCCAAACCTGGGGCCCAAAGCCAGTCCAAAGCCCAGAGCTGAGGCTGGATAACTGGTGCCAGTTCAGGCAGGTTGGAGGCCGAGTCTGGGGTGAGGAAGCTTCAGGGGGCTTCAGGCCACAGCTACTGGCCGTCTTCAGGTCCTCGGGCTCCTCCACCGGACTGCGTGGCCGGTCCGCAGCTTCGCCCTCCAGCTGCTGTGGGTCCCTGGCCCAGAACTCAGGCTGCTCATCCCCGACTCTAGCCACACCCAGCACATCCCTCTTGAGCTCAGACCTCCTGTCTCCTTGGAGAAAATAATAAGAAAAGCAGGGGGTGAAGAAAGAAATGGAGCACTCAGTCATCTGGGAGGGGGCGAGACCACACACACACATCACGTCCAGCAGGACCACCTGCCCTGATACATAGAGACCTGTGCACACGCACACACACACTGACTCTCAGACACACGCTCTGGATCCTTCTAGTAGAAAGGAAGTGGCTTGAGAGGGCAGAGGGGTCACCCCAGGAATGGAACCCAGTGCTCCCCATACCCGAAGGGTGGGACAGTAATGCTACAGAACCAAGCAGGGTCACCACCCGCCTCTTGGGCCCAGAGCACCACCCTGCTGGTTGCCGTTGGCTAGTTTATCCTCAGACTTTGTCTCCGTTTGTAAAACTTTATTGACCCAGCTTGGTCTTCACGGCTGTGAGTGGAGCAGAGATACTCCTGGGCCAGTGGCTCGGCCAGCTCAGCACCATTGGCTGCTCTGTCTCCGTGGGCCACCCACTCGAGCCATCCTCAGTCTCCATCACCGGTGGGCCCGGCAGCCTTGTTTTCATTGGCTCCTCCTCCTGAAGCTCGATCCCTTTTGGTGGCCAAGAGAAGTAGCTTTTCCACTGACAGCTAATCAGGTAAGATGGACAAGCTTGGTCCTCTCCACGTGCACCGGGTGCCGGCTGTCCCAATCTGTGACCGCCACTGCCGCCGCCGCCCGGCCTGCATTAGGGTGGGGGGGCACTGGGAGAGCCTGAAGAGGGTCCAACAGCCTCAAGGAGCCTCTGGTGCTGGCGCAGGTGCTTCCTCCTTTCGTGTTCTCCTGTGACTTCACACACCAACTGGGCAGGGAAGGCCCCAGGAAACCCCTTCAGCCAGCCTGGGAAGGAGAGATAAGGGGCCCAAGTGGAGCCAAGGCAAGGGAGAGGAAGGAAAGGAAGGGGTTCTGATGGGGTCTAATGCCCAAGGGTCACAGTGAGTGTGGGGATCACTGGAGAAGCCTGGAGCATCAGAAGATGTGACATGAGAAGTAGAGGTCACTGCAGCAACAGAGGATGCGGGGGTCCCTTCTGTCCAGCCCTGCAGCAGGCACTCAGCTCACTCAGAGGGAGAGCCGGAGTTCTTACAGACCCGACGAGGACCTGCATGGTCTGGTCCCCGGTACCTCTGTGACCTCACCTGCCCTGTCCCCTCTTTTTCACTCCCTCTGCCACAATGGCCTCCTTACTGTTCCTCAAACACACCGGCCAGCAGGGCCTTTGCACTGACTCCTGTCTCTGTTCCAAGACACTTTCTCCCCAGACACCATGTGCCTCATCATTTTCAGGCCCATCGTCATACCTCAGCTATTCTAGAACCTACAGGCTGTATGCTGTCACCCAGGGCTCTGTGAAGAAAGCATGTACTGAATGTTCATTTGCTAGTCAATGATATCAATAACGTGACAGAACGGGATGAAAAGGAAACTTGTTTCGAGTGCAGAAGTCAGAGATGGGTCATGGCTGGGAAGGAAAGGCGAGACAAGCTATAAGGCTATGGAGACCAGAACCCATGATCAGGACTCATGATGAAGAATTTCAAAACACTGGCCTTATTTATTTTGCTATTTCTATTGGTAGAGTATTGGACTGTTAACAATCATGGGTGGTTTCTGCAATTGATATTTAACAATAATTCCAAGATTTCCAATGCCTCTAACAAAATACCATACTGAACCCCATCAAAAATCTTTTTGCTGGGGCACCTGGGTGGCTCAGTGGTTGAATGTCTGCCTTTGGCTCAGGGTCCTGGGATCAAGTCCCACATCAAGTTCTCTCCAGGGAGCCTGCTTCTCCCTCTGCCTGTGTCTCTGCCTCTCTCTCTGTCTCTCAGGAATAAATAAATAAAATCTTTACAAAAAATCTTTTTGCTGATCTACCTTCAAATACTATCTAGATGAGGAGTCACTACACTTTTTCTATAAATGGCCAGATAGTAGATTTTTCAGGCTTTCAGGCTAACTCAACATAGTAGTTAAGCACATAGAAGACAAAAGCACTCAGATCATATGAAAACAGACGGGTGTGGCTGTGTTCCGATAAAACTATTTACAAACACAGGTCAGAGTTAGCCCTTCCGCCACAGGTTGCTCACTCCTGATCTAGACCAATATCTAGATATCAATCTCTCCATACCATAGTAGTATTTTCTTCTTTTCTTTTCTTTTCTTTTCATGATTTTACTTATTTATTAATAAGAGACACGCAGAGAGAGGCAGAGACACAGGCAGAGGGAGAAGCAGGCTCCCTGTGGGGAGCCCTATTCAGGACTCGATCCCAGGACCCTGGGGTCATGCCCTGAGCAGAAGGCAGATGCTCAACCACTGACCCACCCAGGAACCCCAATATTAGTATTTTCTATTTGATTATCTCTCCCACTACAGGTGTGAATTTTATTTCTGGACATACACACACACACACACACACACACACACACACCACAAAAAATGCCTGGACAGCAAATACTGCTCACACTTGAGAAATTATTTTGAAACTCATGTTAAGATGCTAACAACAGTGGCTTGGCGGTTGAGCGTCTGCCTTCAGTGCAAGTGGTGATCTCAGGGCCCTGGGATTGAGTCCCACATCGGGCTCCCCGGAGGGAGCCTGCTTCTCCCTCTGCCTGTGTCTCTGCCTCTCTGTGTGTGTGTCTCATAAATAAAATCTTTAAAGAAAAAAAAAATCACCGAAGGAATAACTACAAGAATCTCTCACCTTCGGGGCTCTTGAGCGGGTGCCTGGGGGGAGCCCTGGACTCCAGACCTCGTCCCTCAGTCCTGGCCGGCGCAGAAGGCTCCGAACACAGTTCCTGGGAACAGTCTGGTTGGGGGTGAGTGACATGCAGTGGGATCGAGACTCTTCTTGGCTTCTCCCTCATTTTCCCCAGAAGCCTTGCCTCTCCCCACCACCTCCCCTCTGGGGGACACTCACCACAGTCCTCATAGATGGTATCTGGGGAGCAGGGAAGGGGGCCCGGGGTGGGGAAAGCTCCCAGCCAACGCTGCATGTCTGATCTGGTTGGGGACACAGGGAAGGGTCATGTTTGAACCAGGGACAGACAGTGCTGGGATAACCAAGGCTGCAGATTGGGGAGATTGAGGAAGAGGGGGGCGGGCTCTGAGAAGCCAAGTGAGGGTCTGGGGCGGGGGTGTTTCCCCAAAGGAGACACGACTCACAGGGATGAAGCTTGTAGGAGCCGGTGGGTGGGGCGGCCCTGGTGGTTGCTGAGAAGGGAGAGGCGGAATGTAGGGGGTCCAGACGGGTCCGGAACCTGCTGGGCCTGGACCAGGGAGCGGTGGGCATAGTCCAGAACCTGTAGCCGCTGCCCGCTGCCCGGGAAAGAGGCAGTTGAGATGGAGAACGGGCACCCGCTGGACCCCTCCCCCCGACCCCAGCCGGAGCACCCTCCCTCCCGGGACCCACCTCTTGGGCTGAGTGATGAGCAGCAGGTCACTGAAGAGCAGCAGGCAGAGGGGGGTGAAGCGGGGACGTGAGGTGAAGAGCACACCCCCCCTCCGGCACCCTAACTCGGTCAGCTCCCCCTGCAACTCCAGGCGCCTGGACCAGGACACCAGGGGCAGGGCCTGTGGAGGAGCAGGCGGTGGTTCTGGCTTGTTGCAGATACAGGAGGGGAGGAGGGGGGGGCGGCAGGGACCAACCTTGACTTTGTGAAAGCGCAGCCTCTGCGTGAGCCGGATCAGCTCCTCTGTCTGCTTCATGCGCCCCACCTCGGCGCTGCACCGTTCAATGATCTGGAGTCAGGGAAGCCGAGTCACCCACCCTTACTGGCTGCACCCCTACCAACCACTTGTCCACCTGGTCACGTCCCCTCCCCACCCCCCAGTCCCAGGTCCCCAAGCATCCCTCCTGCCCACCTTGCTGACAGCACCCAGGGCTTTCTGTGCATTCTCCTGGCGGCTGGACCCTTCCTCTGTCTGGCGCAGGATATTCTGGAGACAAGGAGGGGCTTCAGTTCAGAGGTCCCGCCTGGCTTGACAAAATGCTTAGTTTGGGGTCACAGGGCTGCCTCAACGAGGCAGGGGGACCTCACCACTCACTGGTTCTACACAACCCCAAGCGTGGCAAGTTACCTCCCTGAGCCTCAGTGTTCCCCATCTGTCAGGTGGGAATAATTAATACCCACCTAGCATACCAACAGCACTGCCGTGAGGATTCAACAAGGTAAAAAGACACAAAGTACTCGCCATAGTCCTCGGCACACAGCAAATACCAAGAAAGAGGGCTGCTACTGCTTTAATCATCATCAACCACAACTCTTAGCGCAAACAATATAGCAGAGTGGTTCACAGTGCTTGGGTTCGGGGCCCTGGGTGGCTCAGTGGTCGAGCATCTGCCTTTGGCTCAGGGCGTGATCCCAGGGTCCTGGGATCGAGTTCCACATCAGGCTCCCCGCAGGAAGCCTGCTTCCTCTGCCTGTGTCTCTGCCTGTTTCTGTGTGTCTCTCAGTAATAAACAAATAAAGTCTTTAAAATTAAAAAAAAAATGCTGGTAATCTAGACATGGCCTCCTCACACCGGATCACCTGGTTTGGGGAGAAGTTTCTACTTTGCCACGAAAGAGTTTCAACCTTCCTCCTACCCCTCACGCCCCAGCATCACTTCATCAAGGAACCCTTTTTAAAAAAAAAAAAAGATTTTATTTATTTATTCATGAGAGACACACAGAAAGGCAGAGACACAGGCAGAGAGAGAAGCAGGATCCCTGCGGGGAGCCCGATGTGAGACTCGATCCCAGGACCCCGGGGTCTCGTGGTGAGCTGAAGGCAGACACTCAACCGCTAAGCCACCCAGGGGTCCCATGGAGCCCTTTTAGAAATTTCTTTTTTTTAATTTTTTTTAATTTATTTATGATAGTCACACAGAGAGAGAGAGAGAGAGAGAGAGAGGCAGAGACACAGGCAGAGGGAGAAGCAGGCTCCATGCACCGGGAGCCTGACGTGGGATTCGGTCCCGGGTCTCCAGGATCGCGCCCTGGGCCAAAGGCAGGCGCCAAACTGCTGCGCCACCCAGGGATCCCCTGGAGCCCTTTTAGACGTGTTTTCTCCAGGTGTCCCACCAGCCATGAAATTTTAATACCCCAAATACGCTGTGCGCCTATGTATGTGGCCATGGGAGTACCATCAACATCAGCATTGCTAAGAGTTTCACACCCCCAGAGAACTAATTTGTGCCCCTTTGGGAGTGCCATCACCCCCGCTGGGAAGGCACACAGTGGGACAGTCCAAAGATCACTCCCCACATTCCCCCGAGACCTCTAAGAGAGGGAAAGGGACCTGCCCAAGGCCCCTCAGCCAAGTGGTGGCAGAGCAAAGTCCAGAACTGGTGTCTCCAGCCAGGGCCACCTTCATGGCATGCAAGCTGCCTGATGAGATATGTGGTTAGCTCCAGGGAGGCCTGGTGGGTCCTGGATTGAGAAGCCTGGCAGGAGGCTTGGAGCAGGGTTCCCCACCACCCCGACATGGAGTCTGGTGTGGGGCAAAGAGGTCCCCCTCCCCACCAGGACAGGCACCTGCAGCAGCATGCGGAGCCGCGTAATGCGCTGAAAAGGCAGCAGCAGGAAGGAGGGCAGGGGCAGCCGCTCGCACTTCGGGAGGCTCTGCAGGCGCCGCAGCTCAGCAGAGAAGCGCACATTCGTGTCCCTGGGAAAACAGTCCACCTCCAGGCCCTGGCTCCCCTGCCTGCCCAGCCAGGCCCCCAGCCCTGCTCCCCGGCTTCCTCCCACACGGCTCCCCCAGCACACTCACATGAGGCGGCTGTAGGTCTCCTCCTGGTATTGCTGATTCCGCACATAATCCACATACACTGAGAAGGGCCCCACAGCGTGCTCATGCACCACGTCACACAGGTCGCTGATGTGGGGGGAAGAGCGCACTCGGGACAGTAGTGTCCCTAGAAACCTGAAGGAGGCGGAGCAGAGAGCTGGGTCTCCCAGGTGTTTGAGCCAAGAGCTGAGCACTAACTGGGCGCATGGAAGGGAAGACCTGGGACAAGCAGAAAACTACGGGAGTGCCCAGCAGCCCAAGTTCTGGTGGGCTGCGAGGACGGGACCCCACTGACCGCTCGCTGACACCCTGGACTCGCTGCACATTGGAGAAGAGGGTGTGGTGGTCCCGGGGGGTTAGCGTGTCCCGTAGAGCCTGGCTCAGCACGAAGGTGTCTGTCAGTAGCCGCAGGGAGCGCAGGTAAGAGGCCTCAGATGTCACCACCTCAAACAGGCTCTGAGGAGGGAGGCAGTAGTGGAAAGCCCAGCTCCCAGGCAGCCCAGAACCGGAGTCCCACCCTCCTCCTCCCTGGCCCAAGCCCAGGCAGGTCCCCACCTCCTGCATGCGCCTCTCCTGGGGGCTGAGCGTGTCCAGGAGGCCACTGGCTCGCACAGCCGGAAGCTCCTGCCACAGTGTGTTGCGAGGTCCAGGTGGACGAGCGAAGGTGGGAGCTTCACCGGGATTTGTGGGAGATGGACACCCATCCTCACTGACTCCCCAGAGCTCCTCTGATAGCACAGCTGCCCGATAGTTCTGGTACAGGGGCTCTGGGGAGCAGACGGGGCACATCAGGGACGCCCAGCACCTCAGAACCCCTCCCAGCTGCTTGCTGGTCACACCAGGGGAGGGGGTCCCCCAGGTCCAGAGGCCCTCACCGTCTTGCAGGGGCAGCTCCCAGTTCTGCTCTTTCAGCTCCTCCAGTTCCTCCTTGTCCCTGCAGAGAGAAAGGGATGGAGCGCCCCAGAGCCACCAGTTACCTCCCAGAGGCACTATTCATATGATAGTATGAATGAGTGCACAACTCCCATGCAGGTCATCTGCAGAGACTCTCACCCAAGTGCACAGGCACAACTCAGTTATGAGCCTGTTGTGTGTGAGGCCCCATAGCGGGCGGGCCCCATCCCCTCCCAGGATCTCAAGCCTCTCTCTCCAGTTTCTCACGTTTGAAACCACTGTCTGGGATGTCCTGCCTGTGCCTCAGTGAGACTTAGAGAGATCAAACCCAAACTCACACCTCCCTGCTCTGTTTCATACGATCAACCTAGGAGAATTTACACCACCAAGTGTGGAATAAGGGAATGAGCCCAAACTAGCTCTGATGGGGGTGGTGACCCTAAAATGATTAACAAGGGGCGCCTGGGTGGCTCGGTCGGTTAAACGTCTGCCTTTGGCTGGGGTCACAATCTCAGGGTTCTGGGATGAAGCCCTACCTGCCATGGCATCACATGGAGCCCCAGGGCCACCCCCCTGCCCATCGGGGTGCCTGGTTCTCCCTCTCCCCCGGCCCTCCCCCTGCTAGTGCACACGTGTTCATGCTCTCTCTCTCTCAAATTAATCACTTTTTAAAAATAAAATAAGCAAAATGATCAACAAGGCCAGATACACAGAAGTGGTGTTTCTGGAGCCAAATGGACTTGTAGACAATTGCTCTAGAGACTCAAGGTAGGGGAAGGTGGCACTGAGCGGGGCCTGAAGCTTCATCTGCTCTGGGGTAGGAGTAAGGCTGTGGGTGTTTGGTACCTGCCCTCCACGGGTGCTGGAGGAGCGCTTGGAGGAGCTTCATCAGGATTGTCCCCTGGAGAGAGAGAGAGAGCCCGGAGTGAAGAGAACAGACCTCCACGATCCCCAGCCCAGAACTCCCAACTCCAGCCCCAGCAGAGACCATAACCCAGGGCAGCCCCAGGGCAGCAGCTGGTGGAGGAACCGAGAGTCCCAGGCCCATTGAGGGTTGTAGGTGGTTGGCTTTTCCACCTCTCTACCTCCACCCCTTCCCTTCCCAACCCAGAGGCCCACTACCCTAGGCCCTGTACCTGTTTGGATTCCATCTTCCGAGGGCAGATCGAGATCCGGCTTGGGGGGGTCCCCAGAGATGGCGATGTCCTGCCTGACCCAAGTTGGTTTGGGGGCTTTCAGGGGCGGTAGGAGTTTGCGCTCAGCTGTGGAGCGGTAGGACGTAAGGACGACTGGGGGGAGACTGATGCTGGGAGGGTTGGGACGGGAGCGGGAGGCCCTCAGTGGGGAGGCCCGGCAGAAAGCCCTGGGGCCATCCTCATAGCCCCCCACGGGCACCCAGCGCAGCTCCAGGCCAGGCCGGCCTATGTGGCAGACACAGGGGCAGCAGGGAGGGCAGGCTAGGCCAGCGTCTGTGGGAGACAGGGGGGGGAATCTAAGGAGTAGACCCTTGGGGCCTGGCCCCACCCTGCCCTGGCCTCCTCCCTCCCTGAACCCGTCCAGCAGGGGAACTCAGGGGTCTAGCCCCAGGCATCTATCTCCTCCACCTGCCTGTCTTCAGACCACAACAAATTACTGAAACCCACTTTCCGAACATGGAAGCTATTGTGTAAGAATGTAGCCCTGGGGGCACCAGGGTGGCTGAGGGTTTGAGCATCTGCCTTGGGCTCAGGTCGTGACCCCCGGGGTCCTGGAATCGAATTCCCCATTGGGCTCGAGGGGAGCCTGCTTCTCCCTGTGCCTGTGTCTCTGCCTCTGAATGAATAAATAAAATCTTTTTTAAAAAATATCTTATTTATTTATTCATGAGAGACACAAAGAGAGAGAGAGAGAGGCAGAGACGCAGGCAGAGGGAGAAGCAGGCTCCATGCAAGGAGCCTGACATGGTGGGACTCGATTCCGGGACTCCAGAATCACACCCTGGGCTGAAGGCAGTGCAAAACCACTGAGCCACCCGGGCTGCCCTGAATAAATAAAATCTTAAAAAAACAAATATAGCCCCTGCAAATGCCCCATCTTAAAGTACTGGAAACAAGGAAGGTGAGCTAGATGGGCACCCCCTCCAGCAGTGCCCCACGACGCACTTACCCGGAGTGCCATTCTCCTGGGACCCACTGCTGCCAAGGTTGACCTGTGGAGCCTCTCTTTCCCCATTTACATCCGCTGCCCCCTGGGGACCCAGCTCCAGGGCGTCAGCAGCCTGGACCCTGCTTTCAGCCCCCCACTCAAACCTGCCAGCCAGTCTCCTCACAGTGCCTGGGGCGGAGGCAGAGCCTCCCTGGGCTGGGACCCCCGCTGTGGGGAGCAGGGGCAGGGTGTGTGACCCGGAGGGTTTGGGTGGAGGCACCGGAGACCTGGGAACAGGTTCTGAGGAGATGGAGCGCCTGGATGCTGGACTAGGGGTGCTGGAAGGCGAGTCTGGGGAAGTCTGGGAGTCCAGGCTGGCTTTAGAAGCTGACGGGGGCAGGAGAGCAGGGGGCTTGAGGGATGCGGCCGGGGAGTCCCAGTGGATGGGGGTGCACATTGGGGTCCCCGCGTCATTGGAGGTGAAGGCAGGTTCCTGTGGGGAGGAGCCGTTGTGGTGGGGCCCTGGGGACGCGGCAGCCCGGGGCCGAGAAGGGGGGCGGGGGCGGATGATCCGAGGGGGCTTCTGCGTAGGGGGTGTCGCTGCAGGAAGAGACTGGGCTGACATCTCCCTCTGGGCTCTTCAAAGGAGTGGGGTCCTCTGCTGGAGTCATCCCTGAGGAGGAGGGAGGGAGAAAGAGACCCTTAGCGCCCCCCCGCCCCCCGTGGGTAGACTGAGGCCTCTGAACAGAAATTGTAGGCCAGCAAACAGGCAGGACGTCAGGGGCAGGAGGGAAGGCGGGTGCCCTCCGTCTGCCCCTTTCTCATCTCCACCGGCTCGGTCTGCACCTCTCACCCCACCCCCACCCCCGCGCCTTCCAGGTCTGGCCTGCGTCTGTCTTTGGGCCTCAGGTGGCAGCCTCGGGCCAGAGGAGATAGGGAGGCGGGCGTGGGGGCGCCCAGTTAGAGACCCACATCGGGGCGGGGGGGAGGGGGAGGCCCGGGTACATGAGAACTGGAAATGTCGGGGACATGGGGGCTTGCCCTGTGGCCACGCGCGTCTAGCTGCTGAGCTCTGTGTGTGCGCGGGTGTGTGAGTGTGTGTGCATGCGTGTGTGCCATCTGCAGGGATGCCGTGAGATGCGCTGAGAGCGCACAGCTCTGGGTGGGCGGGGGCGCATGTGCGGGGTGGGGAGAGGTGGGGAGGCGGGGGCGCGTGTCGGGGGGAGGGGTGGAGGGCGTGTGTCGGGGGTGGGGGCTCAGGTCCGGGGGGAGAAGTGGGTGCCCAGGGGCACGTGTCCGGGGTGGGGGTAGGGAGGCACATGTCCGGAGCGGGGGTGGGGGGAGCAGAAGCGGGGGCGGGCGTGTGGGGCGCTGTCCGCGTGGGGCCCGTGTGCGCAGGCGCGCCGCGGAGCCGGGCAGCGAGGGATGCATCACTATTTCCCTGCTCCCGCCGGCCCTCCGCCCCCCATTTCCCAGTTCCTCTCTCCGGACTCTCCCTTTCCGGATTATTTTTAGTCTCCTTTTCCTGCCCTGAAGATTCCTGGAGCCTCTGACCCCAAGAGACCAGAAGGCCCCGGGCATGGTCTGTCCTGCCCCGTCCTCATCCCTCCCTGCTCCCCGTCCCCCGTCCCCCCACCGCCGCTGCCACCACCAGTCTGGCTAGAGAGGCCCCAGTGGCAGCCTGGGTCCCTCCAGGAGGCAGGTGGGTGGTCTGGAGACCCAAGAGAAAGTGAGGACCAGGGAGGCCAGGACGCTGGCACCTGGGCTTCGCCTCCTGCGGGCAGGCGGCGGCAATCCTGAGAAGGCTGGGGGGTGGGGGGGAACTCGCAGAGGAGTGAACACAGGACTGGACTGGACAGTCAGACCCCTCCAGGCCCCAGACTGGGTTCTGGAGAAAGGATGCTGGGTGGGGGCTGGGGGCCGGAGGCTGTGAGTCTTGCAGCTCAATGGCCTCTGTGTTCTGGCAGGAAGCTCCTTAGGTGGCCCGGGCAGTGTCCTCACTGGCCCTCGGCCTCCTCCCAGCCTTGGCCCCCCGCAGGGATTCCTCCCCCCTTCACCCCCCACAGGTACCTGCCTTTACTTCCTTTCCCACCCCCCACTCGGGACTGTCTCGCAGGGACCTAGGTACTCGGACCCAAGCACTTACCCTCCGGTCCTCTCCCCTCTGTCCTTCCAGGGCTGAGTGAGTAGGGGCAGGAAACAGGAATCGGATCCTCCTCCCAACCGGACACCCCCCCCCCCAAACCACACCACACTCCACATGCGCACACTAGGGCTCTGGAAGATGTGAGGGACCCAGGATCCCGAGGGTCTGGGGAAAGGCTGAATCTCGGGCCTGGAGCATGGGTGGGGCCGTATGCACCCGCTCAGTCTGCACTGTGGTGTAGACCGGGGGCTCGCTGGGGTGAGGACCAGGTAGCAATGGCACAGGGCTGGGCAGGGGTGCTGGACACCTCTGTCAGCTAGAGGATCGTGAGTGTCCCTCCACGACATGTCTGACCATCTGTCCTGTGCCTGACATGATGGCCTGTCCCTTTAGCTGCTGACCTGTCCCCCTGGGTGTGAGTGGGTCCATTATTTCACACCAAGATCCACCCCCACCCAGGATTCTCCCTCCCTAGCTCTGCCAGAGTGCGACCCCACCCCCCAAAACTTACCTTTATCTTTCTGGAAGCAGTTTCTACTTTCAGCCTGTCCTGCCTACTATCCCTGGGAGCGACGAGTGTGGGGCCAGGTCTCCGAATGTCTGTTCCTGTGTTTCTGGGGCGGGAATCGAGGGCCCAGATTGAGATCTCCAGAGGAAGCCAGTTCCTCAGCCCCACCCGTCCATTGTGTCAGGCGTGTGTGCATGTGTGTATGGGGGGGAGCAGGGGGAGAGGGCCCGGGAGCTGGCAAGAGAGGAAACCCGTCTCCTCCAGGTGGGCCCGTGACATTTGCTGGGACCCCTGCCTGCTCACTGTCCTCAGACCCCCTCTGTGTGGGTCCCAGCCCCCGACTCTCCCTCTCCTACTGGGATGCCCTAATGTCCATTCCCCATGGACTGACAGTCGGTACCCCTGGGGCTGGGTGGGTAGGGGACCCTCTCACTTCGAATTTGCTATGTGCTTGGGGCGCTGAGTCCGGGGGGGGAGGGGGGGCTGTAAAAACAACCGAGGGGGTGGAACCAGCCACACCCCAGCTGGGATGCAGGCTAGTGGATGGAAGATCCAAGGGCAGTTTTGAAATCCGGGGGCCTCTGCCTATGCCCAGGTGCCACTCTTTCTAGATCTTCCCATGCACGCACACACACACAAACAAGGCACTAGAAAGAAAAGCCAGAAAACTGGGATAAAGGCGTTTGAACCATTTTTTCCTCCGAGTGAAAAGCAAAATTCTCCCTATGAACAACCAGGCACCACCACTACCCGTCTACCCTCCGTCGCCCCCCTCCACCCCCCCACCCCCCCCCCCCACCTCCCGCTTGCAGAGCATTGGTAGCACATGCTGTCTGGAAGCCCGCCTCCCTAGACATCCCCATCCGGACGTCCTTCACCTCTCCAAGCTGCTGCTCAGACGCTTCTAGTGAGGCCTGCCCCACCACTCAAAAATTGCAGGCTGCAGCCCCACACGGCATTCCCAACCCACCTTCTTTCCCATAAGCAATCATTCCTTTTTTCTTTGTTAAGATTTTATTTATTTATTTCACAAAGAGAGAGAGCAGAAGCAGAAGGTAGTGCAGAGGGAGAGGGAGAAGCAGATCCCCGCTGAACAGGGAGCCTGACTTGGGATCGGATCCCAGGACTCGGGGATCATGACCTAAGCTGAAATTAGACACTCAACCGACTGAGCCACCCGGGTGCCCTGCAAACATTCCTTATACTAAAATGTCGGGGCGCCTGGGTACCTCAGTCAGTTAAGCATCCGACTCTTAGTTTCGGCTCAGGTCATGATCTCAGGGTTGTGGATCAAGCCCCATGTCGGGCTCCCCGCTCAGCAGGGAATCTACTTCTCTCCCTCTCCCTCTGCCCCTACCACTGCTCTCTTACTCTCTCTCTAAAATGAGTAAATAAATCTCATTTTAAAAAATAGCAAAACATTTATTGTTAAATCAATAAATTATGTTTATAGGGATCCCTGGGTGGCGCAGCGGTTTAGCGCCTGCCTTTGGCCCAGGGCCGATCCTGGGGGCCCAGGATCGAATCCCACGTCGGGCTTCTGGTGTATGGAGCCTGCTTCTCCCTCTGCCTGTGTCTCTGCCTCTCTCTCTCACTGTGTGCCTATCATAAATAAATAAAAAAATAAATAAATTATGTTTATAGTTATGTTTTCATGTTAAATAATAAACTTCCTGGTAGCAGGATCTTTGTGTTTTGTTCACTGATGTATCTATCCCAAAGTTCTGGGACAGGTCAGGCATATAATACATGCTTAATATTTTAGAAATTAAACCAAATTAGGGCGCCTGGGTGGCTCAGTTCATGAAGCGTCTGCCTCTGGTTCAGGTCATTATCTCAGGGTCCTGGGATCAAGCCCTACATCGGGCTCCCTGCTCAGCAGGGAAGTCTGCTTCTCTTTCTGCCTGCCACTCCCCCTGCTTGTGCTCTCTTTCTGTCAAATAAGTAAATAAAATATTAAAAAAGAGGTGTACCTGGGTGGCTCAATTGGTTAGGCATCTGCCTTTGGCTCAAGTCATGATCTTGGGGTCCTGGGGTCCAGCCCATGTGGGCTCCCTACACAGCAGGGAGTCTGCTTCTCCCTCTCCCTCTGCCTGCCCCTGCTCCCTCTGCTTGTGCTCCCTTGTTTGCACTCTCTCTCTCTCTAATAAATAAGCAAAATCTTAAAAAAAATTTGAATCGAATTAAATTCTCTGCTCATAACCCACTAGCATCCAACTCTCCTTCCCTAGAGACCATTTCCTCAATTCTGTTGATCACACACACACACACACACACACACACACACACACACAAACACCAGGACCAGAAATCCAACTTCCCAGCCCTCATCTCCAGATCCTTTTGGACTTGCAGAGTTCGGAAATCTGAGAGTACCTCACCAACCCACTCAAGAAAGCCAGATACACATAGGTAGCCAAACGAATCCTGTTTTGTTTTGAAATAGAACTATCTTCTTCATTTTGCTACTTATAAAAGTAACATTAAAAAAGATAACCCAGAGAAAAAAAAAAGATAACCCAGGACGCCTGGGTGGCTCAGCGGTTGAGCATCTGCCCTTGGCTCAGGGTATGACCCCGGGGTCCTGGGATTGAGTCCCACATTGGGCTCCCCACAGGGAGCCTGCTTCTCCCTCTGCCTGTGTCTCTGCCTCTCTCTGTGTGTCTCTCGTGAATACATAAAATCTTTAAAGAAAGCAAACTAGGTTTTACCATGGTGGTAAGAGCAGTCAAAGTCTTCTAGGAAACACTTCACCACCACTCCGGAACCTCCACTCCATATGGTTCCAGTGGGACAGCCTTCCCCTGGCCATCTGACCCAGGTTTGGTCCATCCCAGGACCCTCATTCCTCTGGCCGCAGAGACCGGCCCGGGAATGCACAAGTCACCCAAGCCAAGACAGCCTCCTTCCCTGGGCCCCTGGGAAAGAGCTTTCTCTTCCCTCCAAGGTCACAGAGCAGGAACAATGTAAGTCCAAAGCAAGCAGACTTGGCTGCCCTCCCCCCATACCCCGCC